AAAGAAAGAAAGAAAGAAAGAAAGAAAGAAAGAAAGAAAGAAAGAAAGAAAGAAAGAAAGAAAGAAAGAAAGAAAGAAAAAGAAAGAAAGAAAGAAAAAGAGAGAGAGAGAGAAAGAAAGAAAGAAAGAAAAAAGTCCTTTGGAGGCTGGAGAGATGGCTGAGCAGTTTGGAGCACAGAACCCATATTATAGCTCACAACCATCCTAACTCCAGGTTTAGAGGATTAGATGCCCCATTCTACCTACATGGGCACGTGGTGAGTATATAAACTTGCAGGCAAAACATCAATACACACAGATAAACTTAAGAAATTTTTAAACAATCATTTTCAAAATTAACTTTAATCTCTTGAAAGTTAAAATATTAAAACCATCTTTTGGTTTTAAAGAATACATTTAAGGTTTTTAAGAGAGGCTGGAGAGATGGCTCAGTGGTTAAGAGCACTGGCTGCTGGGCTGCTCTTCCAGAGGACCTTGGTTCAATTTCCAGTATCCACATGGCAGCACACAGCCATCTGGAACTCTAGTCCCAGAGGATCCAATGCCCTCCCTCTGGTCTCCACAGGTGGTGCACAGATATACATGCAGACAAAATACCCATACACATAAAAATGATTTTAAAATCCTTAGAACAGGCCAGGCAGTGATGGCATACACCTTTAATCCCAGCACTCGGGAGGCAGAGCCAAGTGGATCTCTGTGAGTTCGAGGCCAGCCTGGTCTACAGAGTGAGCTCCAGGACAGGCACCAAAACTACACAGAGAAACCTTGTCTTGAAAAACAAACAAAACAACAACAAACAAACAAACAAAAAATCCTTAGAACAGAAATAAAAAAAAAATCTGGCCATTTATTCTGGCAGGAAAATTGTCTTTTCCAAGAAAAACCATTATTTTGGAATCAATTTATAACTCTTCAAATGTGGTAAAAAGAGACCCTCACAGCCGGGCGGTGGTGGTGCACACCTTTAATCCCAGCACTCGGGAGGCAGAGGCAGGCGGATCTTTGTGAGTTTGAGGCCGGCCTGGGCTACAAAGTGAGTTCCAGGAAAGGCGCAAAGCTACACAGAGAAACCCTGTCTCGAAAAACCAAAAAAAAAAAAAAAAGAGAGAGACCCTCACAGTTTCCCCACCACCACACACAAAATCTTTTAGAACAGCATGAATGAAAATGTAGAAAAGAAAATCTCTGTTGATGTCATCCCTAGTCCCAAGGCCATGAGCTTAAGTATTTGTTTCAGACAAGGCTACTAATTATGACTAGCCTTCCAACACTCCTGAAACCAGCTACTTCTGTTAGTCCTTTGAACAGGTGATGGCAGGTCAGGAGATTCTGAGTTACATCTCTCCCTATACGACAGCAGCACTATGTGCTGGGTACTGAGGTTACACCTTGAGGGACAGCCCCTGCCTTGCATGCATGGGGCTCTGTAATCCCAGTTAAAGGCAGAACCGGGAGGGTTACAAATCCAAGGCCAGCCAGAGCTGTGCACACAAACCAATCTTTAAACACACAACAACAGAAAGAGTGAGACAGCTCAGTGGGCAAAGGCACCCGCCAAGTGCCTGGAGTTCTGACCCTGGGACTCGGGGAAGAGAACCAACACCCTTTGACCTTCAGCACGCACCGTGGATACACACACGTGTACACCCATACATGAGCACCCAGGAAACAAACGTGGTAAAACATGTAAAAAGCCAAGGCAGTGACAGATTGAGATGTGAGGGTAACATCAAACCAGACAACTGTGCTGCCCCTCTAAAGAGCACATGCATTTCCAGTACGACACTGATGAAAACAATCATTTTTGAGACTGTGGTTCAAATGACCAGCGGTCATCTTTACACAGAAATGAGTCCTCTGAGATTTCTGGCTGAACACACTAATAGCATGGAAAAGTAATAAAAACTATGGAGTAACTAAAGCTTGCTTCCTACTACTGTGTCTGTTCTTTTAAAAGCATCTCGGTCACAGCTGGCACCAGACCTGCTGCACCTTGGCAAGACTGAACTTTGTATCATTTCTGGCCCTCCAGAACAATTCAGGCAGTATTTCCCTTATGTGGCAGCTTTGCTTAGTGTTCATTATCTATGCCTGGCTAATCTGAAAGCTGAACAATTTCTTCCTCAGAGAATGCAGCGTCATGAGCCGGCTTCATTTTAAACTCACACAATGTATAGCTAGCAAATATTAAGGTATACTGCTCATGCTCAAAACTTCTAGAGTGCCTTTACTGGTACAAATAGAACATTCTGCAAAATGATTAGGGAACTTTTTATGCAAAAAATGAGTATTTTATTTTGGCAGCACTAAAAAGAAAAAAAAAAAACACTGTATTTCTACATTGAGGTGAAAACAGTGCTTAAACTTTCTTATTAACCGAATACATTCCAACAGAAATCATGTAATATGAAGGCTGAAAGCACAGGCAAATCTTAACACAACAGCACAGGAATCAGGAATACTGAAATGACTCTTCGGACGGGTTGTTTAACAGACGAACTTCTGAGTTATTAACAGTCAGACAATTCCTTCCTAATAACTGTCAACAGTAAAACTGGGTTTGTTCCAGTAATACTCTAGTAGTTTCATTGTAATACTTTTTACTGCTGTGACATCTTGAATAAATCTTGCTGTACTTAAAATAAGTTTGGAAAGTGGAAAAAGTATACAAAGTTTTAGATAAAAAGGTTAACAGATGCGATTTAAATAAATTTTTTTTTAATCAATAATAATCGAATTGTTACTAAGCAGATACAGACTGAATTTTAAAACCCAAGTTCCAAAATGAAAATTTCAGTTTGAAATTTTAATCAGACATAACTGAAAAGGATTACTATATATTTGGACACCTTTTACAAGAAATCTGTTTATGTATTAAAGCAAAAACCAGTTCCTATACCCTTTAGTCAACTGTATATTCCATTGAGAGAAATATAAAAACAGAAGACTGCCACTTCTGCAGTTGTGATGAGTTTCTCACTGCAGTCTTCTGTAACTTTTACAGAGTTCGTGGTCCCTAATATCTCCCCATCCTCCGTTTTTCCTAGGTGGGGAAATGGCTGCCATAGAAAACTTGTCACTGATAACTAGAGTTTCTGGAAACATGTACTGTTTGTTATTATTTAACAACGACTCAAGCTGGGCACTCTGGGTGGACGGCCTACACGTTTTCTTGTGATGCATACCACAGTCTCCAGCATGAAAAATCCTAGGAGCTTGAGGAACTAAGACTTTCCAGAATTTAGGAAGACAAGATACAGTCAAGTACTGAAGAGTCCAGTCCCAGTTGTAATCATCGTAAGTACAGAAAGTGTCTGTGCATTCGATCAGCTTCTGATATGCATCTCGGGTCAAGGCTAACCCCATATTGTGCTCTGTGGATTTCCAAGTTTTCACATCCACCTTGTCAGCAATACCATAGAAACTCCGTCTGGCCGTGTAGGTCCCTAGGGAGAGGACATCACACCCAGGACACTCCTGCTGCTTCAACTTCCACATCTTTTTGTAGACATGGTAAAAGTCTGGGGCTAAGTAATGGTCCTCTTCCAGGAAAAGTATAAGGCCAGTGTAATCCTGAAGAACTTTGACTCTCTCCCACACAAAATGCAGCTTCCACCACCAATGATGTTTGGTTTGCGAGAATTTGGCCTCTCTGTAGTGGCCGAAGGAGTCGGGGTACTCGGCATTGATGCACCCCAACTTCAGAGCTGTATTCTTCTTCAGGTCTCGGGGGCAATCTCTGGGGTCAGTCCCCGGAAACTCACTCGGGTACAGCTGAATGCTGAATGGAAAGAACACTTGCAGAACCGGGCAGAAATCCACCTTAGCTATCATCTGGTTGATCTCTGCCGACCAGAAGTCGTGGCTAAAGATGACTAGGACTTCATTAATGCCCTGGGCTTTTCGGAGCGAGTCTAGCAGTAGCCTGAGGTATTCGGGCCGGTTGTGCACCTGGACAACCAGCACCAGCTCCCCGGGGCTCCAGGTGCCGTCATTATCGACATTCCTCAGCATCTGATCAAAGTTCAGCTGGTACACCAGGGACCGGTACCGCAGCGTCAGGTTGTCCACCTCCGGCCACGGGGCGGCGGGGACCAGGGGAGCCGCCGACTCGTTGGAGACCCTGCGGATGCCTACGGACACGGCGGCGGCGAGGTGGCCCGCACCCCGCGGGGGCTCCGCGTCCAGCAGCGGCGGGGCGAGGGCGTCGCTCTTCCTTTGTCGCCCATTGCTGCTCCAGAGGACGAAGCCGCAGGCGGCCACCACGAGCGTCAGGATCAGCACCTTCCGTTTGTAGATGCGGAACCTCATGGTCTCCAGGGCCGGGAGCGCGGGCGCGGAAAGGAGCTGGCGGCGGCCTCTGCACGGAAGGGGCGGGCGGGCGGCGCCGTCGCCTTGGCCTGTAGCCCTCGGAACTGGCCCCGGCGGCGGCCCTCGCTAACTCATCCCCGGCCCCGGCGTCCTGGGGGCCCCAAGGCTCAGCCGCCTCGCGCCGCCCGGGCTCGGCACATCCTTCTCCGGCAGTTGCAGCTCAAGCAGCCGGCCCCGCCGTTACGAGCCGGGGCTCAGCGTCGCCTCGGTCCTCTCCATTCAGCAACACCCCCTCCCCCGGGGTCCCGGAAGAAACCCAGCCGCGGCCGCCGCAACCCCGGCTCCGTTACCTGCGCTGCCCGTGGCCCTGCGTCCTCTGCGCGCTCATCCTCGCTCGCGCCGCCGAACGCAGCCACCGGGCGCCGCAGCCTCGCCCCGCTCCGGCGGCGACCGTTCTGACAAGCCGCGACTGGCCTGCGAGCGCCCGGGCCCTCCGGCCCACACCCTCCGCCCCGCCCCGCCGGCCGCTGATTGGCCTTTCCCAGAAGCGTCCGGGGGCGGCGCTCCCGAGGAGGCCGCTGCCTATTGGCTCGTAGTCGCGTCGCTCAGGTTCAGTTCCGATTTCCGCCCGGCTCGGCCCTTTCCCGTTCGGCTCGTGCGGTGGCAGTGGCGATCGCGGACGCCGGGTCTCTCGGTAAGTCTTGGGGGCGCAGCGGTCCTGGTTCCTCGGCGATCGCCGCCGCCTGGAGGCCGGGGCCGGCCGGGATCTTTTGGGGGAGCGGGGAAGGGGGCAGGTGCTGCCCGGCACGGCTGAGGTCAGCAGCCGGCGGCCCGGATCGGCAGAGGCGCTCCAGCATGGCGTCTAGCTGGGCCGCGAGGCACGCGGGCTGCTAACGACACGTCAGCCTTCGGGTCCGCTGGCGGGTGGGAAAGGCAAACCAGTCCGACGTGGTTCGGGAGGGAGAACGAGGCGGGTCGTTGCAGGAACGACTGCGTCCCACCCTGCGCGGGTCACCAGATAGCCGTGAGCTGGAACATGGAGTGGGTGCGGGGTAGTCCGAAGAGAAGCCCTGGCTTCTACCCGGACGCCGCGGCATTCTTGCACCGGGCGGTAGTACATGGAGCGCTAACGATGTCTGTCTTGGACACAGAACTATATTGGCCTTTTTTTTTTTTTTTCTCCGAAGACAGGCTTTCTTTATGGAGCTTAGGCTGACGGCGAACTAGCAATCTCCTGCCTCAGCCTCCCGGAACATCTTCCATCAGATCTGTGTTTGTAACTTCGTGCTTTTCTTTAGGCTTGCCGTGGTGGGGACTGAACCTAGGATGTTTAAGCACATTAATAAGCAAGTGCTCAACCACTGAGCCGCCTACCCAGCCTAGTACATGAGGCGCTCAAACTGCTGTACACACGCATGACTTCATGTGGGAAATGAGTAGTTAGTGGGTTTACACTTTTTTTTTTCCTTCGGTTGTTTTGTTTTTTTTTTTTCTGGTTTTTCGAGACAGTGTTTTGATGTAGCTTTGGAGCCTGACCTGCATCTCACTCAGTAGACCAGGCTGGCCTCGAACTCAGACATCTGCCTGTCTGTGCTGGGATTAAAGGCGTGTATCCCCACTGCCTGGCAGGTTTACATATTTTTGATGACTTTTTTACATATTCGTACAAAATATATCTTTAAAACTTGAACATTTCAAAACCAATGTCTGAAACGTTATTTTATTGCAGTTTTCATCGCATAGACACCTCTACTGCAAAGATGGTCAACGTGCCTAAAACCCGGAGGACTTTCTGTAAGAAATGTGGCAAGCATCAGCCTCACAAAGTGACCCAGTATAAGAAGGGCAAGGATTCCCTGTACGCCCAAGGAAAGCGGCGCTACGATCGGAAGCAGAGTGGTTACGGTGGGCAGACAAAGCCAATTTTCCGAAAGAAGGCCAAAACCACAAAGAAGATTGTGCTCAGGCTTGAGTGTGTCGAGCCCAACTGCAGATCCAAGAGGATGCTGGCCATTAAGAGGTGCAAGCATTTTGAACTGGGAGGAGACAAGAAGAGAAAGGGCCAAGTGATCCAGTTCTAAAACTTGTGTTTTCTGAGAGGAAAATACTGAAGCAGTAGGCAAATTGCCTGTTAGAAAATAAAGTTATTGTTACTGATACCTTGTGCTGTTTTGACTCTAAGTAAATTGCATATTTAGGGTTTTTTGCTTTTCTTTGTTTTCAGGTGTGGTGCATTCAGGGTCTCTGCCTCCTGGATGTTAGGATTACAGAGTTGCACCATGCCCTATTTTTTGTGGGGCTCCATTGGATTGAGCCCATAGTTTCTTGCGTGCTAGGTTAAGCGTGCACTCTACCAGCTGCCCCACAAGAAGTTATGCAGGGATAATCCAATGACTGCTGAATAATGGGCACAAACCATATATGTTGTGGATATGTAATTCATTTCCCAGAACCTGTGGTAAAGATTTCATCACTCTGCCCAGAATGGCTTGTAGACTAATAATTGCTCATTAAATATTTTCACACTTGTTGACCTTGGTTAACTGACCATGAACAGGGATGTAGGTGTTGGGTAACTCATTGGGAAAACTAAAAAAAAAAAAACATGGTGTTTTTGTTTTGTTTTTTTTTTTTTTTAAGATTTGTTATGTATATGGTGTTCTGTCTGCATGTATCGCTGCCTGCCAGAAGAGGGTACCAGATCTCATAGATGGTTGTAAGCCACCATGTGGTTGCCGGGAGGACCTCTGGAAGAGCAGCCAGTACTTTGTAACCCCAGAGCTATCTCTCCAGCTCCTCAAAACATTTTCTTAATGTTAAGTTAATAACTAAGAATAAAAATTTGAACTCAACCAAAGAATTACTCCCGGGGCAGGATACAATTAGGGCACGAGAGATGGATCAGTACCTGGCTCAGAGCTGGCTGCTCTTTCATAAGACAGTTGGAGTCCTTGAATTCATATGGTAGCTCACAATTGTATCTGCAGTTACAGGGGATCCAATACCCTCTGCTGACACCAGACATGCGCGTGGTGCACAGACACGTGCAGGCAAGATACCCATTTGAATAAAATAGTTACTCTGGCTCAATGTCTTACCTTGAATCAACTTTTGAGTAGAAACTTCAAGCTTTTCAGCTGGTGGTGCCAGGAGTCAAACCTAAGGCCTTGTATGTACTAGGCAAGTGCCAGACTTCAACCTGTACCCTCGTGAGACGGTCTGTAGTTCTGGCTGGACTGGAAATACATAGACCCGGCTGGCCTCAAACTCTTAAGGTGTGTGTCACCATGCCTGGCCCCTATATCCTCCTTGAATAAAGTTCTAATAAAAGTGTTCTAATGCGGACTGGAGAGATGGCTCAGAGGTTAAGAGCACTGGCTGTTCTTCTAGAAGTCCTAACTTCAATTCCCAGCAACCATCTATAATGAGATATGGTGGCCTGCAGACATACATATAGGCAGAACACTGTATACATAATAAACCTTTTTTTTAAAAAAGTGTTCTAATGCTTAATATAATACAAATGCTTGAATCTAGAAAAGGGAAAAAACAGCTTCAGGTGAGAAAATTTTAGGAAGGTGATGTGGAAATAATCTAGAGTAGTGGCAGTGCTCAATCTTCCTAATGCTTTGACCCTTTAATAAAATTCCTCCCGTTTTGATCCTCAACCATAAAATTATTTTGTTGCTACTTAACTGTAATTTTAGTATTGTGAATCATAATGTAAATATCTGATATGTAGGTTACAACCCACATGTTGAGAACCACTGATCTAATTCTTCCCAAGCCATAACAGCAACAGGCTTATACTCTGCAGGGTTGTTTCCTGTAGCCTGCCTTCCTCCAAACCAATTAGCTCTGGCTTGCCTGGAACTCATCATGTAGACCAGACTAGCCTCCAACTCAGAGATCTGCCTGTCTCTGCCTCCCAAGGGCCAGAATTAAATGTGTATCACCATATCTAATTTATAGTTTGTGGGGCTGGAACTCAGGGAATTTAAGCATGCTAGGCAAGAACTCTACCAATTGAGCCACATCCCAGCGGTGGTGACGCACGCCTTTAATCCCAGCACTCGGGAGGCAGAGGCAGGCAGGTATCTGTGAGTTTGAGGCTAGCCTGGGCTACAGAGTGAGTTCCAAGATAGGCTCCCCCAGATCCTCAAGTAATGAAGTCAGTAAAAATAAGTTTCCACCCAGGAAACCTACAGAGACAACCAAACCAAAATAGTGGGAACTCATGAACTTTAGACCAACAGCTATGGAGCCTCCATGGAAGTGGACGAGGCTCTCTGTATAAGCAAAACAGTTGTGTTGCTTGATCTGCTTAAGGGGGCCCCTGGCAGTAGGATCAGGATCCATTCCTGCTTCATGAGCTGGCTTTTTGGAGCCCACTACCTATGGTGGGACACCTTGCACAGCCTTCATGCAGGGGGAGGAGCTTGGACCTGCCTCTACTGAATGTACCAGGCTCTGCTGATTCCATGGGAGGTCATACCTTGTTGGAGGAGGGAATGGGGAGTGGTTTGTGGGAGCCCACAACAGACTCAGTTTCTCAGTTTGAATCTGAAGTCTATTCTGAGTCAATAGAGTTCAGGCTTGCTTGCTCCAGGGCTGTGAGAAAGTCCTGATTAGCCCACAGGAAGGAACACACTAGCTAGATGCAGGCTGCTGATGCCAGCTGGAGGTACATTGAGATAGAAAATGAAACTGCCTGCTCCTTGACACAAGGCAGGATAGATAGTGGTTGAATGCCTGTGCTGTGCATTGTTCTACCCCTGTCCTTCAAAAACTGTATATAAGCTGGCTGTGAAATAAACCCGGGGCTGTCCAGCGTTGACCGATTCTTCTGTCTTCATTATCTCTTCAATCCGAACGCCTCTACCCAGCTGACTGTCAGCAGGCTCCGACAGTGGTTGGGGGAGGGAGAAGGGGACCTGTGATTGGTATGTAAAGTGAATAATAAAAAAAAAAAATTAAGTTTCCACCCAGGCGGTGGTGGCGCTCACCTTTAATCCCAGCACTCAGGAGGCAAAGGCAGGTGATCTCAGTGAGTTCAAGGCCAGCCAGGTCTACAGAGCTACTTCCAGGACAGCCAAGGCTACACAGAGAAACCCTATCCAACAAAAAACAAGATGTTTCCACTTTATCTTCAAAAGTGGGAAAAGGGCTGGAGAGATGGCTCTGTGGTTAAGGGCACTGGCTGCTCTTCCAGAGGTCCTGAGTTCAATTCTGAGCAACCATATGGTGGCTCACAACCATCAATAATGAGATCTGGTGCCCCTTCTGCAGACATGCAGACAGAACACTGTATACATAATAAATAAATCGGGGACAAAGAGAACATAACTTATTAAAAAAAGAAAAAAGAAAAAAGGGAAAAAAATCACAAGACTGTGAAGGACATTCTGAGATTTATGCTAATTTATGAGATTCATACTTTATGCTAATCAATCTGCCTTAGTGTTTGGTGAACATATAGAATAGTATTTCTGAAAAAACATGGTACTTGT